TGTCAATGGATGGATTTGCTCGGGAATATCTGGATCGTTATAAACTCGAATCATTGAGCTACGTCGCCAAATGTGGTGCGACAGCAGAGGTGAGGAACTGAAACCAGGGTACAGCGTCGTTGTGACACATAGGGGGAGGGTCGTACCTTTTCCGCTGGGGAATGGGGTAGTATTTGTTCGTATTTGTCGTACTTGAGGGAGCGGCGGTCGTATGTGGGTCCGAGAGAGAGGAATGTTTCCCGGTTGTTGACTTTTCGCGTGATTTTTCCTGTTTCATGTGTACTGTATTCATGTATACTACCACCATTTCACTTATCACGATGCTGTACCTTGACTGAAGCACGCAAAAATACTTTTTAGAGTTCTTCGTTGTGGGAACCTATAGCATGATTTTGCTGCCGTTTCCAAGAGGCTGGTGAAAAGCTGGACTAATGTTGATCTTTGCTCTTTTCAATTAATTTTTCACCACTTTAATTTGTGATAGATCACATCCTAACTGAGGGAAACCCAATGATCACGTCTGAACTCAGTTTAGCTCCGAACCTCTTCAAAAAACGTTTGCCATTGACTATTTCCTTTTTGAGATGGGCGACGCGTTCTATAAACCATATCCCAGAGCAGGGTAGGAAGTGACTACGTTCTTTATTCGAATGTGCCAGTTACGCTCAGTTAGGCTGCCTTTGGTATTGCGCCCGTGCTGGGAAAGATTAAGCATGGATTTTACAAAACGCAAAGGCGGATGAGGTTTTCTCAATGAAAAAAACAGATCACCATCAAGACGCAGAAAGCGTTTCCCTTGTTTTTTCGGGGATATGGATAAGCATTTCCATTCAAGAGACGTCAAGACTTTCTGCATCGTGATTTGGCCTGCATGTATAAAATGCCGGAGGAGCCCGGTCGGTGTATCCAGCCAATGTAGCGCCAACCGGTACCCGACAATTATGTACCGGAACAACGAGACCCTAGACGAGGCGAGGTTCTTGGTCCAGGACTTGGACGCGTACCGCATCCCCCCCCAAGGAAAAAAAATTTGATCTCGAGGCAAACTTGAAAACCCGGCGTTCCTTCCTCCCGTGGTGCCGATTCGCCTATTCCGGAGACTGGAGCGCTTAGTTAGCCCGCTTGGCAGTCAATCCGAGCTACCAACAATTTGAACTCATTCCATTCAAACCCGTCAATTTTCTCCTATTGAACTCTTCTTCTGAACTCCCTCGTCCGCATGGTGTTCAATGACAAGCGTGACCTCACATATTGTAGCTTTTCACCCATGATCAAGGACTCACTCACTCCTGACTTGCCTCATGTTGTTTGACCTTTTGATGTTTCGGCAGCATCGAGAGTACGAAAAAGAAAACGTGAGGGGGTCGTTGGATGACTGTCGTCATCTGTCGGCATATAGGGTTTCGCAACAAGACTGTGCACAACAGTTGAAGTAGTCACGTAAAGCAGCGTCCAGACTTTCGCGCTGCTGTTGGCGCGCTGCAATTGTCGCGCTTCAATTGTACCAGACCCCAGCTTCCCTTTATGTTCTTTCTTCCGGTATTCAATCCCTTTTTCACTGTTTCTCATTTCTACCTGATTCTTAGCTCCTCTTTTTCACTTTAACATTGAATTTTAATGTAGTTTTTGATACAGGACACTGTGGTAATGATTTTGTATAGAAAAACGTTTGTTTCAGAAAAACGCGCCGTCAAAAACGTCAAAAACTCGAAAAACTCAAAACGTCGTCAAAAACGTCAAAAACTACATTAAAATTCAATGTCAAAGTGAAAAAGAGGAGCTAAGAATCAGGTAGAAATGAGAAACAGTGAAAAAGGATTGAATACCGGAAGAAAGAACATAAAGGGAAGCTGGGGTCTGGTACAATTGAAGCGCGACAATTGCAGCGCGACAAGTCTGAACGCTGCCTGAGGCCTCGTTCAAGCTTCGCGATCCGATCGCAGGCAACTCTGCGATTGCACGAAGCGCGCGAAGCTCGCGATTTTCGTCAACCATGCACACTGGGCGCCAGCGGTTGGTTGGCACCGACTGCTTGGATCGCATTCATGCTTCGTGATCGCGGTCCTGCTGCCTCACAGTCCAGTCTTCGATCACGAAATTTTTGATGCAGTGATGGTTTCGCTCTATCACTGAGATCATGCGATTTCAGCATTGGAGTGAAGTGTGAACCGCTCTAACTCGATTAAAGATTTGACCCGCGGACTGTGCGGTAGACGTCCGCGGTGACGTTGCGCATACTGTGGATGAGGAACTCCTTGATTTAAGGAATCTCTGTTTTCATATTTCAGCGCGTTTATCCGCCCGTTTCCTTCACGAACTTTCCCTAGCCACTACACGATGGTAACGGGATTGTATCCAGAATCTCACGGAATCGGTAAGAGCATTCTCTAATTACTAGGAAAAAGGCATAAGTGGTAAAACGACAGAGCCTACAAAGCGATAAGGACATAGGATTCCATGCGGTATGCAGTCAATGTGAGAGGTGCTGTTCCCCTTAGGGGGAGGAGGAGGAGTAGGGAGAAAGTATTTTTGTGACTATCTGCATTGTGAATTTGAAGACAATTAGAAGGAGAAATAGACATAGGTAGAAAAACTACTACCAAACAATGGTTTGTTCCGTCCCTTACCTCATACAAACCACGGTAAACCCGTGATTGTATACTATGGATAACGGTACTAAGCCAGTCGTCTAATATGGATCTACCGTGGAGAAATAAGCAAAAAAAAAAAAAGAAATCATGGAGAACACCTAGGGACCTGTCAGCATCCCTGGACGGGGTTTTTCGGACCTGCGCGTTCTATGCCAGAAAAGCGATATCCTGCCACCTCTGGCTCACTAACAGTTTCTTCGCGTCATCCAATGTTACTACTATCTAACAGTAGAAAGAAAAAGGAAATAAAAACGGGGCAAAACCGAACTCGGGGCAGAAGTTGCCCTTGACTTTGGTGGGCTGGTGGGCGGGACAACTAAGGAGGTGCCAGAAATGCCAGTTCTTAGGACCATAGCACCATCGTTGCTTATTGTGAAGCCGCGAAAGTGGGATAATCTTAGAGAATGGGGCCAGAGTATCTATACGAAAAAGAACCCCTACCAATTATTCGGGCGCGGGGACTGTTTTCGAGTATGAATGGTGCAGGGCTACTTCGCAGCATACGCATTTACCATATTGCACGGCCCGAGCACAGAAAGTGCTCCGAAAACGGGGCGCGCTCTGTACAACTTTAATAGTATAACAGTACATATTAGTAAAACACAGTATTCTAGCTGGCAATAGTGCGGTAATTGAGCCATTGCATATTTATAAGCCCCTGCAGCGCAACGAGGTTGAGATGGACTTGAGTCTGAGCATTTTCGTAGGTATCCTTTCTCAATCTATCTGTTTGCGGAAATTATGGAGAGTACTTGACTGAAGTAACTGACTGTATTTATGAAGCTGAGCCTTTGAAGTTAGGACCCTAACCTAATAATATGGTACATACTCAAAGATTGAGAGCAGGAAGGATTTTAACTTGCGCTCAGCGTGGTTTTTCTTACTTTCCTTCTTTCTAGTGGATAATAACGTTTACGATCCACAAATCTCAGACAAGTTGGAAAGCATGAAGAAGTCAGATCTAGAAGGATATTATAAGGGCGATCCGGTAAGGAACATATCTTCGTTTTTGAGGTTAGCTCCAAATTTGGTCATATATTGCCCTCGAGGTGCTGAATTCGAGTTAGTTTGTCTTCTGCAGATTTGGAACATCTACAAGCGCCATGGTGGTAGAGCTGCGTGTCTTTTCTGGCCAGGCTGCGCTTTCAACATCTCAGGTTATTTTTGGCTCTTGATTTTTGGTTTCATCGTTCTTTACAATCTTCACATAAGTTTTGCAGGGCTACGACCAGACATCTCACCACCGTACAATAAGGATCTACCGTTCCGGAATCGGTTTGACATGGTTAGTAAAACATGAAAACAATAACGCGATCTTCCAAACGGAAAAGGAGAATCTGCCCTGAGGTTCCCAACCCGACGCCCGGTCACGCCATGCTTCTAACTAATGGATCGAGAATGCGCCGTTGATCAACCCTTTAAGATGCGACGCGCAGTTATGTACTGGATGAGATGTGGCCTAAACAATCACTTGCGAGGGAAAGCCGATGTGCAAGTTAGTGTTCTCATC